GACATGATATACTGGCAGGCCTCACCGCACAGGTTTGCATTTGAATATGGAAAACGTAATATGGCGCTATACGCCACTATAAAACAGCATTTAGATTTTTTTTTGTTTGCGTCACCTGCCTAAATGGACTTCAAAAACGGACAGTGAACCGTGCAATAATCGCAGTAACACGTATCTTCTTAAATCGAAGTTTTATCTTCATCCAACTCACTCATTGTACTTGTCACGCGCAGATACTTTTCAAAGAAACGCTGACGTTTCGGGTTGGTCTGGAGCCATATTTTCAAAACAAATTTCACTTGACCAATTTAAACAGTTGATTAAATCTGCTCAATAACCCTGCAGAATCATTCTATCGTTGATGAGAATCACTAATAGAGCAGAACATCAGTGAATCCTGCTTTCCTGCTAGATTTTACACCGACTGCAGCATCTGTCACAGGCGACTTTTTATCAGCTTATTTCACGCGCACTCAAGCAGTACACAACGCAATTCACTATTCCGAAAAAGAACTGATATCTCGCTCTCACAGCCGTTCCGTAGGTTCAACGTCCATACACAACATGACGTATGCATAATTCTGAACTGCGTAAGAAACGTTTTGAGCTTTCTCTTGTGATTCTGTTCACCCAGCGTGCAAATCTTTTTATCCACCTCAAACTGGCAGTCTAGTTAGAGCTTCGCACACCTGTGTAGGTGTCCAAACTTTGACCTTCATCTCCTTATTGCTTGAGATTTTCCATGACATTGAGGTGCTTCTGATGATATTCCTACCTAGGGCGATTTCGTACTTCAAAACATGCAAAATTGACCGATTTTTCTGGACACCTTTTTAAACAAATTTACGTCCAACCTATGCACTCCGGGGCTACTTAAGTATCCGTTTTTTCCATTACGGATATTTGCGACTGATTGCTGAAATCAGGAAATTTCATAGCAAACTTCGGTCTAGATCCAAGTTCTTGTCAACTTGCAGTAATAAGAAGGTGTGAAAAAACTGTAAAAACTGAGACCTTATACAGCATCAGGAGGCGACACGTTCCACGAAGATAAGAAAGATATTCAGTCAAAACAGGCAAACTTTAAAAGTCAGAGGATAAATTGGCTGCCTCAAGAAGGCTTCCGCGTGGAGTTGTTTCTCATCCAACAATAAAAGGATTGCGGAGAAGAAATCTAGTTTTATGGTCACGACTGCATTAAAACTGGCTGAAAACACCAAAACACTACGGAAAGCACCGCAAAACACCAAATAATGTGGAATATGCTCAACCCTACCACTGTGGACTTAGCTGCATAGATTTCTAAAAACTGCAAACGAACCGGTGTGGTTCGAGTTTCTCACATTCGGCATCATTCAATCTCACCAATTTCGATGTGTTCTAAAATGACCAGACGCCATGAAGTTCAAGGCGTCTCCTTAGCAACAGAGTTTGTAAACTTCTCAAATCTCCCCTCCAATACATCGGCAATGTGGCATTGCGTTTCTCGTATATTGTGTTCATGCTGGAACATCAAGGATCTAATGCATATTGCCGGAGAATTGCTGATGACCAAATAATTTTTCGGGTTATTCATCGATGGGTTATGAGCAAAAGTCGAAATATTAAATGAATATAATTCAACTGTTTTCCCCCTACCCCGCTCTCCCAAGTCAATTGCCATGGCTGCGCGGGTAACCAGTACGAATATTCTAACACCTTGAGGGTGTTCATCGCTTCATGGAATTAGGGTCCATGCTGGCAATCAGATTGTGAAGTTCCGGCACAAACTGTGAAGACGTTGGTACGTTGGTGATGCGCTGGGAAAGAATTCAAAGATCTCTGAGCATTTTGACATTTGGAATCTAATAGAGTAGAGCTGCTACGCAAGTGTCACTTTCGAAGGCGCTTCACATACTGCGGATATTGCAGAGAAATAAAAGCAGGTCAAAACAAGGGAATTCAGCACCCTCAAGGAAAGCGGGTTAACAACAATTAGGATGGATATTCGTCCTTGAAGAGTGATAGGCGGTCTGATAAACGAATCACGAATCTTGTACACAAATGAGATAACCAAAATATGAAAACTTCCAAACGATTGTAAGCTCTGGTTGTTATTTACTTTGATTTGGTAGTGGCAAATAAGTGTGTTGTGGGCACAATTCCTCTAAATTCAGAAAACATTGAAGGTCGTATAATACGTTTATAGCCCTTCAATTTAAAAAAAGTCAAGCAATAAATTATAAACTCTGTGCTCTAGCGCAAACAGAGAGGTAGATCAAAAGTTTGAAAAGGTGAGTATATGAGGAGGTCAGGATGATCACCCTCAAAAGCAAACAAGCACTCAACTCCACAAGGCAGGGTTCCAAAAAAACGTGTGCTTATCTTAGTCCAAATCAATTTAAATGTGTTGAATCATTTTGTGAGCCTTCCATCATAACCTCAAATATTATGAAGTTCAAAGAATCGCCTCATCCTGTCTTAGAACATGAATCGTTGTTTTTTTGGCACAGAGATGTAAACCATGGAAGCTTCCGAGTACTGTTTCTTGCAATTTGGTCAGCGAAAATCTTATTTCAACAACCCACCCTAACAGTGAAACGAACAATACATCAAGAGAGTTGAACTAATCTTCGATTACTCTAACATGGACCATTTATCAGACTGGAACCGAAAAATCCCATTTATAACCTCGCAAAATCACGTTGCCTTTTCTCAGATCCTTGGAATATCACTCCCTTCATGCGGCAGTTTCCGTCTTGAGAGATCTTGTATTCATTAATTATACAGTCTTGATGAATGACACAAACCGCTGGAGGTTTTCTCGGGGACGCTTCACGTCGGGCGGAGCAAAAGAGGAAATTGAACATCAGCATGGTGTTCAATTTGAATGATTCAGATGCTCCAGTGGAACTAGGCCGTTCTTCCGTGTGTTCATCTTTCTCTTGCACGTTTGCTGGATATTGACTAGCACCACAAAATGAATTAGCCTGCGTGCTTAGAATGGGTGACTCTACGCTACATAAATTCTCGTCAAGTTTGTCTTCATTTTCAAGCCCGCAAATCAGCATTTTGCTGCCTCTTTAATTCCCCCATGATTTATTGTTACCTGGCATCGAGTAAACGCAACCGATTCATCTGCATGGCTTATGAATATTCGCAATTAAATTATTTCAATGAGATCAAGTTTACCATTTAGAAACGGTATAAATTTAGCATTTCTGGCACGATTTTACGACCACTAACAGCATCAATTCATCATTCGGGCATCCTTGGAAACAGATAATAAGGTAGCAAATTGTTTTGTCTTATAGGTACCCAGTTCAGACATACAAGGTTCTATGCAACTTTTCCTCAATCCTAGTGCAGTCAGTGTGTTTGGCTAATACACATTTCCCGGTGTCTCCGGGTCTACGTTCAGTGAATTTCGCGGATAATTCAGAATATTGCTTTTAGAATGACGTTTTCTATAGAGGAAAATTTTGGTAGTTCAGGAGGCGAAGATGGTTACTAACTACTCTCCCCAACAGCGCACAGTTGATGTCACTTCGATTGGTGATAGAAAGTTTGTAGTAAAATTGCCCGGCTCAGCAAACAAGCAAACGACCAGAAAGACGTTTGTTCAAAACGAACCGGCGACTCGCAACTACGTGTTTATATTTTGATCATCTCTCTCCACAGCACAGGACGATATCTTACGGGCTGCTTCGAAAGCAAATCAAAAGTGAACTCTACTGGATAGCACAAAAGCATTGTTTTTCCTAACATTTCTTTCACCGACATCAAAACCTCCGCTATTTATAACTCCTGATCGCCAGTGGCTTTAAACTTCGTTTCCCTTGTCATTGACCTGCCATCTGATTTCAAATTTCGCACTCGCGGACTGCTTTGGAAAAGCTTACCTTGTATCTGAAATCATCTGTTGCATAACGGGTGGGTTTTTTTCCACCGCCAGATATTTATGGCTTTGAAACCAACTGAAACCAGTCAGGCGCAATTCAAGTGTAATTTTCACAGAAATATGGTTTAACCTAGTGTTCACAATTCTAAATTGTTGTGGGTGATCCCGCTGAAGTGTGGTCTTCCCGTCCTTTGCATGAACTTACATGAAAATTGCTGGATTCAACTCTGTTTTATCAAATCGCGTCTTGGTTTGAGAACACAAAACGTTGAAATATTCTGTGACAAAGGGTATACCCTCCCAGTCATCTTCCACGCTTCCATATATAGGTAGTTTTTGAGTGCAAGTATCAAGCCTAATTGCACATCACGTTTGACCATAACACTTGCTTGAAGCGATCGATGAGTCGGAAATGACTAATGACAATGAACAGCGATGCACACCGTGAAACCAGGCATTTAAGCTCAAATGAGCATTGATGGGAAGCCTAGAAGATGGGTCCGCCATAAAATTCCCACAAACTACAATCTTGGTTGCCTAAGGAGCTCAGTGCCCGATTGTAGTGACAAATGTATGAAGTGTTCGGGTATTACATTTAGTGTAAATCCCTTAGGCTTACTTTAAACAAGAGATATTTTTCCATCCGATAAAACGTTTTCTCCAGCTGATGAAGAAATGCAAACGAGTCCCCATGCCTATGGTGAAAATGATTATACTTAGAAACAGGGTAGTACATTTTGTGTAAATCCCTTAGGCTTCCTTTGAACAAGATATATTTTTTCATCCGATAAAACGTTTTCTCCAGCTGATGAAGAAATGCAAACGAGTCCCCATGCCTATGGTGAAAATGTTTATACTTAGAAACAGTCTTCAAAATATTTACCATGGAGCTTAAAGCGCCACTACACGTAGTGGCAACACGTTGGTTATTTTGCACGCAAGTACGCATACACTCCGGTAGTTAGTATTTGGCTTTGTGTCATTGCGAGTAATTTTATAAAGTGCGATTGTATACTTCATCCAGGAAAAATTTGTGGATATTCTTTTTTCAATTCAAGGTAATTCAAGATTCAATTGTCTAAAAAGCAGTTAGCTTTACAACGACCATAGGGTGAACGTTTATATACAAAGGGACACAAAAATGTGCGTAATGTTTGCTGAGCATCACATGGAGTTAGACAGTTCCAGGTTTGGTTTGGACATAATATATGCATCTATATTGTTCTTGAAAATGGTTAAACTCGGCGAGTGTACAACATTGTGATGTAGGGAGTTCCAAATGAAGCATACTCGGACTGCAAAAAAATTCCGTGGACAGTTCACCCTCGAGTGAGGCACCAAGAGCGGAAAGCCTTCCCCCCTTGCCGTTCGTGGTGGACGTCGGACCAATAGATTTTTCAGCGAATGATTAGGTGTCTTCAGTATATTATATGTTAGACTTAGGACTCTCCTGATGCGCCGATAGTAGAAGTCAAACAGGTTGAGACCGGCAATCCTGTCTTCGTATGGTTTATTATGCAATCCAATTACCAGCTTCGTGGCTCGATGATATATTCGCCGTAGAAGAATTATGTCTTTTTGAAGCCATGGTGACCAAGTTTGTATAGCACACTCCATGGTTGTTCGGATGTAGGTATTGATTACTCGGGGCAGCGCCAGTCCAGTGAAACGACCAAAAATCCGTTTTAGGAGCCACAGGACTTGTGAGGTCCTCTTATAGACGGCTGTGCATTGCAAGGAGTTTTTTAAACAGCTGCTAACCCACACGCCCAGCGCGCCCAAGCGCGCGAGCTTTCGTGAGGATCTCTGGTGTCCTGGTCCACACCCGGGGGTTATGAGCGGATTCAATTACTACACCTACCGTCCGTTGCGACAGTGAACAAACCTCCGACCCCGTGTTTATCTGGTTCATTCGTATTTCCCATTTTGCCCAAACAAGTCATGCAATTGAACAGCAGTTGTGTAGAAATCCTTGACAAGCACACCGTAGTATGCTTCTCGTCAATCAAACAGCCATACAGACCGCTTTGAACTGAGAGTAGATTAGTTCCCGATCTTTGCAAGTTTTCCTGATGCGGGCTTGCCTCTCCGTCACCCTGTTTATCCGCAGGCCAACCCCCCTATTTCTTTTCAATACAGCCTTCAAGTGAACTGCGTGCTATGCTTCCGAATAGCCGAACACTTCGTTTCCGTACATGACATTCCCTTCGGCACCTAGTGCCGGAATGTGAATGGTGCACTAGACAAACCAAACGGCATCCGCTTAAATTATAACTGGGCACCCCAGAGCGTGACCGCCGCTCTCCCCAGTCCTTCGCCTGGATAGAAAGTCGCCAGGACCGGGAACGCAAGTCAAATACTCTTAAATAACGAAAATCCTAGAGCAGGTCGAAAGACTCCGCAACCGAAGGCACAGCTACAACACAATCTACGGTCAGTTAATTCGAACGCCGAAACTCTATGCGTAGCGTATATTTTCTAATCAACTTCCTTACAAACACAACGGCAGACTTTCCTGCGCTCCTATTCTTCTTCGCCCATGCCATTTTTCAACATCTCTCAAATTTGTTAATGGGCATCCTTCCGTTGATAGAGTGGCAGCGGACGATGGCCGTAAGGTCTACATCTTTCTGACGAGTGGGGAAGTTCGTCTTCAGTCCACGAGCAAAAGCCAAACGGATCTTCGTTGCTCGTGAACAGTGCGGAATTTTCGTCGACCACTGACTGTTTTGAGGGCGCGCTAAAAGACGAATGCCTACGGACATGAAGCTTGCTCACCTTAGTACTTGGGAAGTTTGACTGTGTATACCTTGCCACCGTTTTTTCTTGTTCTAGGTCAGCCGGAGAGTCTGCGCTCATAAGAAAATCTGCCCACCATATTGTCTGCTTTATGCTTGGACTGATCAGAAACACGTGCTGCACGAACTGATCGTTCTGGCGTATTCAGTGCATTGACAATCCATCAATCTTCAGTTGGTATTCACACACCACTCCCACGGTTAGTGCGCACGGTCTGCAATCATCTGTGTTCCCTCTCCGCCTCAATGATACCCCTGTTACCGGAGTAGTGAAGCACAACTCCCTCCTGCCTATCTTGACAACGGCTGGTATCTTATCTTGTCTCACTGCGCCAATTGCAACACATCCGAAAAGAGAGGAGTAATCCAAAATTTTATTATGTACAGGGGATTGGGTAGGAGAGCATTGATTCTTTCACTGGTCAGGCACACCACACTTGTAGCATCCAACTGATCGGGCGTGCCTCCGCGATTCCCTCTTTATAACAGCAAGCTGTTTGGGGAGTCGGTCCACTTACTCAAGCGTAAACGAATGCTACGAAGCGATTCCAAAAATTCCCCAATTAATATCACTTTTCAATAAACGCGAAGCAGCTTTTGGAGAAACCCACGTACCACTTGCATGCTTCATCAGTAGTATCCACTGCTACATGTGTAGACAGAAAAAACATGGTCATCCTCATCAAGGATATTAACCCTTCAGTTACCGCAAAGTTTTTTAAGCTTTCATAGATGTTTCGCAATTTATTAGAGGTGGTGAGATACATGTCTGCATGTTCGAGGTGGTGGCTGATATGACTGATCAATCAGTAAAGGGATTTCACAAGCCATCCACATAAGCAGGGCTTCGAAGAACTTCTCCATTAAAAGCGACTGCTTAGGAGCTTGAGCATCTAACCACTGATATCGCCATTACAAAATACGCATCCAGGGAGATGGTAGAGACCAGCGCAGCTGTGTTTTCTGGAAATGGCTTTCAAAATTCGCTGTCAAGTTAGTGTTCCAACTCCCGTGCCACGTTTGTTACTTTCATTGTACAAAACAAAAACGACTTCTAAATGGTATAACAGGCACTCAGACGAACCATCAAGACCTATGAACGCTTCACTTCTTCCGGGCGTTATTAATTTCGAAAATCATTCAGTGTATTTCCGAATAGCTCATTGTTTGCGCCCACTAGATTTAAACAACGCTCTCAAGACATCAATGTTCTTCGAGGCCATGTAACAAAAATCATGGATATACCGGTACGTTATTTGGACTTCTCGTTAGAACATCACAAACAGCAGATACTTGGTGACAATCGTACCAACCATTCATTACCCAACCTCCAAAAAATGAAGTAGCGTAGTAGTTTTCCAGCTTGTTTGTA